ACTTAAGATTAAGTTGCAGCACTTAGTATAAACTAAGATATTTTTACCAAAATATTCATATTATTTTTATAGTCACACTAAATGAAGGAGCTGGACGATTTGAATATTTCGATTATATTCATTTAGCGTGACTTATTTTTGCTCATCCGAAATATTTTAATGTCAAATAAATTCATTCATTTACAATGTTTATCAAAGGTTTTATTGGTTAATCTTTGGATTATGGTAACTTGGCGATTTTTTGGCGACCAACCCTGCTACAGCAACCTGCTAGTTTTTGTTTGGACGCCATTTTGTTTTCACGAAGTAAAGGCTTTTTTTTAACTCAACACTTTTTTCCAACAATCTGCTAGCCGAATTACGCTTATGCTAGAACTTTTATGGAACAAAAATGCTTAGTCATTGAAGCAATAGTACGAAATTGGGAGAAAGTGCAGAATTGCAAACTGCTTGCCGCGTTTTTAAGAATTGCACATACACGGTATCCATGTATACGTCGACCTATTTTCACTTAAAAAAAAATCCCAGAATTGCACAAAAATGGCATTGCGCACACTCTTGACTTTATCCATGTAGACTGCTAAAGTCCTAGCTAGTAACCTTTATCGCCTTAACAAAATGTCGCCAAACTTCTTGTTACCATATTCCAAAGATTAGCCGTTTTATTATTCTAATAATTTTTTATATGTCCTATACATTTCTTAGTAAAAATTCTGTAGGCAAAAATTACATACTGGCAGTGAAAATTTTGAAATTGTGTGAGTGTTAACAGTGAAAATCTCCTTGCCCTCAACACACAAAAAGCAACTATTTGTTAGAATGAGCTATGAGTTAAAAAAAATCACTAATCCAATACCCATATATCTTCAATGAGATTTACATTCACAGGATCAACACTATAGAAAACTAAACTGCGTAAAATCTACACCAATTTTAGATACTAACATATAATCAACACGATAAAAAAATTTTACAATAATTTAATAATAGGTAAGAGGATTAATGCAGTTTTGCCCGAGGAATGTTGACCAATACACCATATGGTTGAGAGTATAAATAAGGTTGCATCTTTAAATAACTAAGCAAAATTTTATTTGTAACAACTAAGAAGCTGTGTATAATGTAATTTTTTTTTGCTTCAGAATTTTATATTCATTCAAAAAGCAGAATAAAAATAAATTATTATGTATTTTTGTTTCTTATTCTACTGAATGAAGGCCTGTTATAAATAAAATAGAAATGCATATAGAATCTAATAAATTCCCAAATTGATCCAAATCCACTGCCCTTTTGTCTTTATTCGCTACCCTCTATTTCTGTTTGTGCACGCTGTTTCATTTACTCCAAAGTTACTTAGTTGTATGCAATCATATTTTGAATAAGAACTGAGAAATGAAATTATATAGAAATCTCTCCTCTTATCTATATTTATCACTGACTAGAGACTTTGGGTGTTTTACATTACAGGACATGTGCCAAAACAATTTTCTCAAATAAGATATATGTGCCAGTTTGGAGGCATTTTCTAAACTATTTCAAAAACTTTTAATTACTAATATTTACTTAAAAGAACACTGCTATATAAGAGATAAGGAAAATATTTCATTTTATTTTGCCCAACAAGGTAACAATGGTATGTAAATCATTCTATAAGAAATATTTTGGCACTTGCTGTTTTGTAATGGAAAAGATTTGATATCTGGAATACTTTTTATACTATTATTTGTAATAGATAACCACAGCTATTTTCTGAACTTAGAAATTTCTTTATGCAAAATATCCTCAACTACTATAAACTATTCTCAACAGTGCAAGAAGTGACTGACTTAATTCTTATTTTTATATGTGTCATACTACAAATTTTCATTTAAATCATTGCTAACATCAACGAAGCAACTGAGTTTAAATTTCTGCAGATAAAACATGCATGAAAACCTAATTATATACGTATGCGTATTAATAACATTTAAAAGATAAATGAGCTATAATCATTTGTACTTCAATACACAAATATGCATGTTTACTTTCAAAGCGCGCTCGCACACACACACACATATATACACGAAGAAAGAAATTTTGCATATAAACAAAACTTTTCTTACCAGGTAAAATGTAATTAGTTTCTTTGAAATGTTTAGAACACACTTTCATATAATGTCCGACTTCCTTTCCAATTCGCAGTACGCGAATACTGCGAATTGGAATACGCGAATACCACTCCTTTCATCGCTTTGCTGTATCGCCATCTTGTTTCATATTTTTCGAACCAGGAATACGATGGAAGCATAAATCAGGTTCCTTGCATGCTCGTCAATTGCTCTGTGGTACACAACAAAGCGTGTGATCTGCACTTTTTTTAAAATTATACTTAATGCCTAGAACACTCAAAAATAAATGTTTAATTACTTTCTGATCTCAATGCGCTTCACAAACTACGTAGCATTGTCAAACGTAAATACCGATTTTAAATGTTTCCACCTTTTAGCCACTAGATGGCGTATCAGAGCGCTGGAATCGCGGATATCGCGTTGATGTTTTAGTTTAGCAATTTTAGCTTGTGCAAAATCATAGTCAAAATTCTCTAAATCACAAGCAGAACCCCATTCTGTAATTACACATTTATAATTTGAACTAGATCTATTGGTATTAGCAGTCGGAGAACCCGTAATAAAGTTCATATCTAAGTTCACCTGAGCAGAGGTAGCGAGATCGACACGAGGTAACTCGGGGAGGTTATCCCCGTCTGCCGCGTCTGAATCAGAATCCATCGTACAGGTAGGAGAGGGTTTTTTTTGTCATGTATAATATAATAATATAACGTTTTTCATTAATAACAGTAATTAATATAAAGTTGTTTAAAGTGAATTTGCCATATTATGACTTTATGGTTAATAGACTGATATGCAAATAATTTTCATTATGTAGGAATTGGTGTTTCTGCCTAAATTTCTTATTTCACATTGAATAAAATGTACGTTGTACATGTATGACATTAAAAACAGTAGCAACATTTTTATTTCATTGAGTATGCTCACGGAATATTAAAATCGTTGAAAACAGATATTCAGTTTTTAAATTTTTTTCTGGTTAGAATCAGTTTAAAAGGCTAATAAGTTTATGAACACTAATGAAAGTTACATTTGCTATAATTCTGTCAATCATGTGTTCCAGAAATCCTGCACAGGAACAGGAGTATATAAATGCTTATACTTCCTAGTGTTCCAACTGCATTTCATATCTGTGGCAGATAAATCCTCCAGCTCATTATTATCGTTCCTGCACAAATTAAAATATGTTGGTAAAATTATTTCCTTGATTTTAATTTTATAAAAACTCTCATGAACTATTTATTTCCATCAAAATATAATATAAGTATCTATCTTTCATTAAGGAAATCGAATAAAAATTAATTCTTTAAATAAAATGTAAAATTTTAAAAGGAAAAGTAAATTAATACAGAAAGAAATGTAAAATTTTACGAGAAAGACAACATGCAGTAATTTTAGATCTAAATTTTTTATTTTGCCCCACGAGTTATTCGAGAAAGGCATCTATTGCTGCTATTGACTCAATTTTTTACAGATAATATATCGAGAAATGTTATAAAAATCATTTTATTATGCATGTGTGTATGCACGCACGTATGTACAAATATTTATCTACATTTCTGAAACTAGTCAGAAATATACATACATATATACCTACATTTCTGAATTCGGTCCTAATAGCAGAAAAGTACAAAAATCTTTGACCACTTTGTTATTGGATTTATGTCAAATTATCCATTTTGATGACAAATTTTATAATATATAAAATCACAGCATGTAAAAAATACATATTTTAAATTTTACATCAAGAACGGTTATTTGCTTGTTTAATGAATAGAACGCAATAACTGAGTGAAAAACATAACACATTTGACTAATTCAAAATTATTAAATCTTACTCATGGCAGAATAACATAACAGAAACACAATGTTTGCAAGATTCGCCTGCTCCAGCTTTGCAGCTGCAATGAAATGACTTAATTTTCCTACTGCTTTCATTTTCAATGAATATCCCATTAACCACGTGCGGCGGTGAAGAATTCGAACTTGATTGAAGACATAATGCTTGTATCGCGATTTCTTCATCTTTCCTGGCCTTAATATCGCACATTATCAATCGTTTCGAAGCCAAAATTGCTTCCCCTTCTTTTATACAATTACTCGAACTGGTACCTTGTATAAATTAAAAAAAGTGTTAAAATCTGAAGTTTTTTAATCCATCGTAATACTAGGGATTCAACAGCAGCTAACTCAGTAAAAACAACTCAGACTTCAGGTCTATTAGCAGTTGCAGACGAATTTGAACGGTCATTACAATCGCCAATAGCAGATTGAGGAAAGAGAAAACAACCCACTAATTTTCAATACAATTTGTTTTCTGAAATTAGTCCTCCGTCGCAGTTCTTTTGGCGCTAAAGGATTTCTAGTACTAAATGAGCTAATGGAACTATATTCTCAGATCAACAGCAGGCACGTCCTCAGCTGTAAGGCACAGCAGAGATTTACATAAAATTTTTTTGGTAGTTTAGAGCTAAAGGGTGATAGCTTTTATATAGTATATATGCTCCTAAATTAATAAAATATACTAATTAATGTCTAATATAATTAATAGAATACAGTACTTAGCGATTAAATTAACTACAAAATTTATAATGAAAGCGCTTTCTTATTTTTATTATTATTTTTAAATACCTCACTTGAATATTAAACTCAGAGTCAAAAGAATCTCAAAATTGTTCATTACCGTTTTGACTTAACTTTATGGAATATTAAAGACATCTGTTTTGTTTTTCTGAAACATGAAATATATTTGCACATTTGTAATGCAATATCAGTCTCTAGGCAAGTGCACTGGCATGCCACTTTCGAGGCGTGACCAACACATTAGAACTCTTTTCTCCAATCCTTATATAGCAGTGAGTCTATTAACGCCTTTTAGAACACCTACAAACATCCTTACACTTTGCGTAGGCTAATAATACGCCAACTTCTGGGCTAGTTTTGACGGCTCTAACAGCATAGCAAGACTGAAGTCCGGCAAGTACTAGCTTTAGGTCAGCCACACATTAAAGATTGTCAATTGAAACGGAAGTTTTGAAAGTGCGTGCGCAATGGAAAAAACCGCGGAAACTCATCCAACTTCCTGCAATTTCTTAGATTTTAACAAAATGTCGAAAGTAAAGAAAGTTTTAGAAGAAGCTAAACAGGAAAACAATCCTGAAATTGATCTTGTGGATAAAGGAATAACTTCGTTTGAAGAAATGCCTGGCCTTCGTAAGTATCTAGAAATTTGCTGTTATTAGAGAATTTCATATTTCCCAAATTTGGATATTCTATTTTAGAACCGGTTTCATGTGAAAGATGGGAGACTCAAGGGTGTGGTGACAAAATTTAAATTTAGATTTTTTTTTTTTTTGTGCACAGTATTTCAAAATATTTAAAATACTTCGTTTTCTAATGAAAATTGTGCCATAAATATGAAGTAAATATTTTTAAATGTATTTTTAACAGAAGGCATGCAATAAATGAAGTTTTGGCAGTAATTTTATTTTTCTGAGCTAGAAAAATCAAGCAGAAGGAACCAAGTAACAAAAGTGCAAGTTTCCTCCATATTTGTTAAGCCGTTTTATTAGAAAAGAAGAATTCCTACCATTTATTGTGGCTGTTATAGAGTATATTTATAGATGTTTATTTACCTTTAATTATATGAATTCCTTTATTTGTAAGACATAAATTACAGTTAGGTAGCATATCTCACAGGTGTTAATTTGCATCTAATGGTTGATCTGAAGCTCCACTGTAGGTGTGAGTAAGTGAGGAGAAATTCTATAGCTATGAAAGCCATCTTCAGACCTTTGCATAACAAATCAATGTTTTAGTTCACATGATTTTAAGTAGGAGTAATTAAAAATAACTTTATGTGCAGTAATTTTTTTTTCTGTTGTTTTTTTGCAAAATTTTAATTTGTTTTATTCTGGAGTTTTGGATCAGATGTTTTAAGTAAACAATATAAACTGAAAAAAGCCTAGTAATAAATTTCATAATCATTGTTAGAAAATGAATTTGTTTTGTAATCTAAAATGCTTCGTGAAAATAGAGAAAATTTATAGAAACCTTTCAATAATTAAAAAACGTTTTGACTAAAAACTGCCCACCAGCGGCAGAGCGGTAAAGACACTGAACACTGGTAGTTCGGTCCGAGGTTCGAATCCTGCGAACGGGCTGGCTGCATGGGCGTTTTTGTGGTTTTCCCCATGTGTAACGTATATACGAGCCAGTTTCCCTTAGAAAGTCCTCCACGAAGACATCCCTCCCTTTAGGCAGATAGCCCTCGTGTGCTTTGCCATAGTTGAATAATCCAATCGAATCCATTTGACTAAAAACTAGAAAAGTTTACAATGGTGCCACTTTTTTTTTTTTTTTTTTTTTAATTCTTTTTTGGCGCCAGGAAGTCACAGTTTCAAGATGGCCACTACACAAAACCAAAATTAGCAGTCTAATAATTGGACAGACTGTGTCCATGTACACATCAATCTATTTTCACTTAAAAGAAACAGAGAATTGCACAAACTAGGCATTGCACAGTCCATGTACATATCAATTCACTTAAAACTATTTTCACTTAAAAAATTCATGAAAGTAAAACAACGTTAAAATTATCATGGTAACCAGAAATGGGGTTTCATCACCAAAACTGAACAAAATTTGTCTCTAGTCGAAGGGGCACCCAAATCTACACTAGAGCCAAAACTAGAAAATGAGTAATAAGTAGATTAAATTGGACAGAAATAATGAATTAAATAATAGCTGAAATTCTGGATGATTTTTTTTCATCGTAATTATGTACAAACAAACTGTAAAACATTTTATTTCTCTGATGATTAATGAAAAATATTTTTTTTTTTTTAAATCATGTTTAGAAAGGAAATTATTGTGGTTTTGTAAGGGTTTTTGGAGATTATCTCCAGTGTGAGAGACTGTATATTGTAAATTCTAAAGATATGCTCTTTTTAAATTATTTTGCACTGTTTGCTGTTGAATTGAATTTTATGGTTTAAGTGTGAAGACCATGATATTTAATAAATAAAGGTAACGCACAAAACATTAAAAAAAGTCCCTTTTGGGCATAATATAAAATCTGAAAGCTTTCAGATTTTTTTTTCCTGTCTGCAGCTATTTTATTTGTTACATTACAACTGTATCTCTTACAAATAGCTCTCATCCTTTTCATTTGATGCCTGGCTGTGGTAGAATATATGTTTTTTTCTGATTATCTTTCCCACACTGAAAAGTAGCAAATCGATTGGCAACTAATTTTTCACCAGTTAATGCGCAAAAAACACAGCCATTTTCAAAATGGCAGTGCACTAAGAATACCATACAAGACCAATCAATCGATGAAATTGAAAAAAATGAGAAAGATTGCCCATAAAACACTTATCTTTACCGAAAAACAATTCTGTTTTGTAGTGTTGTTTCCTTCACATACACAGTGGTCTGTTTTTGCTGAAAAAAATTTCGGAGGTTTTGGCATTCATATGATAAAATCTTGGAACTTTTTTGCCAAGATTTACTTACTTTTCATCTTTTCTGCCAGTTTATGGCCATTGTCTTGCATTGGCTCGTGTGTGTTAAATGTTTAAATATACAGTCAAAAGTCGTTAATCCGGACTCGTCGGGACTTCGGCGATTCCAGATTATCGATTTTTCTGGATTATAGATCATCAGTTTAAATCTGGTAAGATAGCATGCAGAAATTATAAAATTAAATATATGAAACCGTAATTTATGAAATAAAGAACAATTATGATCTAAAGGGTATAAAAATTTACAAAAAAAAAAAAAAGCTTAATATTTATTTGTTTACTTTATTAAACATTTATTAAACAATTCATTTCGCGCTGCGACGTTTCGGCGTCCCCCCCCCCTGGGCCACAGAGCAGCGTGAAATTGATAAACAGATTTCGGAATGGTTAGATAAACAAAATATATGCCTTTATCCATTTTTTGCAGCAATTCCACTTTTTGTTTAATGGACTTCGAAACATACTTTCGCTTTGTAGATCCTTTACATATTAGCAAATATATATCAGAAATTCTATTAGACATAATCGAAAGTTCAAGCTTACTTTTATAAAATTGCTCTAACAGTCTGCAAAAAATAATAAGCCAGATCCAATTTGAAGATTAAGGAACAACGCAATCTGCAACATTAACTGAATTAGATAATTTTAGCTTAGCTTATACCGTCCGTTATACATTAAACGTGCATGCGTAAACGTATTATGCGCATGCGCACACGCATATTCGCAGCCGTAAAGGCATTACGCGCATGCGTCAACGCGACGCATGACCAGAAAGTTTGTAGCTTTGAGGTCCGGATTATGGGTGTCCGAATTAACGACTTTTGACTGTATAGCCTCTTGCAAGATGTGATTTCCTTTTTTTAAATGTTTTGATTTTAACTGTTAGCTGAAGATTATTGTGATTCTTATGCCTTTCTAATGATGTTTTGATGGAGTCTAATGGCAATGAAACATCGCCATGGAGAAAATATCATAGACAAGTGTAAAAGTGCTCAAAGTCTCTACCTGTGACCCAATCTAGCCACAATATCCTCCATGATCCTACAAGTCATTTCCTGCCAGGCTTTGGCAGTAAGAGTTAAGCAACAGAAAATGTTAAACTGATCTTTCTAAAAGTCCGTGAGTGTTAATTATGTGGTCTAAATTACTTCAAAATACCTTTTAAAATTGTATGTTGCTGACTTAAGTGTTTGTAACTCAAGATATTCTTTGTGATTCAAAGTGTTTTTTTGCTCAAGTAATTTGTTCGGGATCCAAGTTTCCACTGTACTGTTTGAAATGCTGATGTTTGTTTCCACTGTACTGAAGTATGGATAGTGAAAAGAAGCATTCGAGACTTGTAATGTTGCATAGCTTTGGGAAAAAAGATACTGAAAATGAGATTTAAGATATTTATCGGAGTGATGCTGCAAGTGGCCTGTTTGCAGTTGATGTAGGAGGTTCTGAGCTGGTAATTTTAATTTGGAAAATGAAGGCTGAGAATTGGTAATTTTAATCTGAAAATGAGGGTGTTTATAGTTGTCTATACAGATGCAAATCTCTCAAGGCCATAATTGACAAAAATCCCTTTATGTGAATAAGAACATATTTTAAACAATTTGTAAACAATAATAGACGATCACCTTGTCAAGCTCAGCTACATCAGTTGCTCGGAAGTATGGGCTCTGAGTTCGCAGAAAGCTCTTATTAAGTGCATTTCATGCATGATTAGCTTCTTTGATTAAGTGAGACCAAAACCATTTATGTTTTTATCAAACCATTTATATATTTATTTATTCATCGTGTTCCAGCACAAAAATGCAGGACCCATTTGTTTTCAGCCATGAGAAATAAATGAATTCTTAATGTTTGATAGTGAGGCTTTACTTCATCTTCCACAGTATTCAAATACTGCCCCATGTGATTAATATTTATTTTCGTACTTCGTGATTATTTGTACCAATCACTGAAAAGTTGCGAGCTTGTTGCCGATTTTGGAGAGCATTTGCAAACTCATTGGCAACTAATTTTTCTCGAAGCTAATGTGTAAAAGTCAGCAGCCATTTTTAAAATGCCACTGTAGTAAGAATTCCATACAAGAGCAATGAGTTAATAAAATTGAAAGAGCAAGATTTTGGTGATAGATCACAAACCTTATTTTGAAAAATCCTTTTTTATGCTGTTCATCCTATCTACACAGCAATGTTTTTGCTTCAAAAAATCGGAGAATTGCATGAACTCAGTATTGTGTAATGTTGGCCTTGCTCATTGGCCAGAACAGACATGTGCTAACTGGGTTGCCACATAAATACTGAAAAAAAAAAGAGAAACATGCCAAGTGAAACAAAATTAGTAACGTAACATTCTTGAGTTTGGCATAGATTTATGTCAAGATCTTAATCAATATTGAGGGCAAACAGGTATAGATCCTTCTTCGTCATGAACAAAGAAATGTGCAAGGGGGCATAATGCTCATTTTGACATTCCACAGTAAAGCAAATGAGAAGGTAGCGCCATCTGTTGGCAGAAATATTAATGTAATTGAAAAATTAAATTAATAAAATTAGGAAAGATTGGATTGCATTGAAAGTCATTGACTAAACATTATAAATCTTTGTAAATGTAAAAAGCTTCAAGAAAATACAATTCACCAATTGAAGAAGCTTCTTTAATGATTTTTGCAGACCCAAAGTCAAAATTATGATTAAATTTCTAACAGTGATTAGCTATGGAAGATTTGTTAATTTCACCTTTTCAGCCATAAGATTCGTGTTCAAACTATCAGCTCTATCATGTATCAGCAGCTATCTCATGTATCAGCAGCGTTACAATCAAATTAGAGAATTTTATTAGTCGGTCATAACTTGTGATGAAACAATGGTCCTGTAATGTGATCTTGTGTAAAGGGAGGGAATCAGTAGAGTGGGAAAAATCAAATGTAGCACCACCAAGAAAAGCAAATGTGCAGTAATCAATGAAAAAGACAATGGCTATCATTTTTTGGGACTATAGAGTGATCCTCCTGATAGACTTTAAAGAAAGAAATACCCGCATTAATTGGAAATAAATATTATGCAAGTCTTCTTCTGCATAAATTGCATAATGAAATTAAAGAGAAAGGGCATGGAATGGTGAGCTGTGGAGTTCATCTTCTCCATGATAATGCTCCTGTATATTCAGCTGTTATTGCTAACAGAGCTGTGAAAGAAATCTATGTTCTTTAAGGAACTTGATCACTCATCTTCCCACCCAGACTTAGTTACAGGTGATGGTCTTCAGACAGAAATCTGACCATTGCGAGAAGATATTTAATGATGATGGCATGAAAAGGAGAAGTGGAACATTTTAAAGACAAACCTACAGGGGTATAGAGTTGCTCATGAAACATTGCGAGAAGCAAATTGAAAGTACAAGTAGACTGTATTGAAGGATAAAATATTAAAATTTTCTTTATTTGTTTTAACTGTATATCAAGCATTATGTCCACTTGCACATTTCTTTGCTCATGACAAAGAAGGATCTATACCTGTTTGCCCTCAATATCGGTTAAGATCTTGACATAAATCTACGCCAAACTCAAGGATGTTATGTTACTAATTTTGTTTCACTTGGCATGTTTCTCTTTTTTTTTCGAGTATTTATGTGGCAACCCAGTTAGCACATGTCTGTTCTGGCCAATGAGCAAAGCCAACATTACACAATACTGAGTTCATGTAATTCTCCGATTTTTGAATTTATCTATATATGATAGACAGAGTTAGTTATATGATTTGCAGATTAATGCATACATAGGAAGGGATAAGTTCTTCAATTATAGTTAATGTTCTTCAGAATGTTAGACCAGATTTAAATGAAGAGAAAAGAATGCATTATTAAATTTGATTTTTAATAAAATTTGTTAGATCAGATTTATACAAAGAGAAAAGAATAAATTATCAAAATTTGTTTATTTAAAATCGCAGACTCCAAATCTGTGCACTCAACTTAAGCTACTGAAAAAGACAGTTATGATTTGTTGGCAACTAAATATTCTGGATTATATATGAATTTGAAATGCTTTGCATTCTAGAATGCAGTGAATTTTTAATTTCTAAAAAAACTGAGGAACATCACAAAACACTTGAATCATGCAAAGTGCAATTTTTGTAGCTTTAATTTGATGGCTCATATGGTAAAGGATGTCTGTCCTTTATTGTATGTGTCTGTCTTTTATTATATAAGAAGTCTTAGTGGATTTTCTAGAGCATATTAGTACATCCAATGTGAAGGCAGGATTATACAGGTCATGTATTGTTTTTTCGTTTCCTGACTATTCATATTAAGCTGATCCCTGTGATACTTCTGTGCATAGATGGAAAACTTGATCCATTTTCAATAAAGGGAAGTCTGTTTTGTCATGCATTGATTTGCTTAATGTTTTGGTTAGATTTTGCTGCAGTCTCATTTTTTTTTAAATGTTACCTGGCACATAAACAACCCAAATATACAAAAAAGATGTTTTGAATATCCTATAAAGGTAGACTGTCAGTGTTAACATAACAGGGAAAATCTCGGAGAAATGTTTTTAGAGGGAGATTTCTCTCTCTATTAAATTAGAAATTGAACCTTTCTGGCACACTTCCAGCAACAGGTCTACTATTAGTGGCTGGACTCAACTTGTTTTATATTTGAAATGTTTTCAGGATTATGACATAACATGACTAAGTATTTTAAGAAGGTAGCATTCTATCAAATGGTACTTTTTATTAAATGATCAGTGAATTTCGGTAATTTATGACCTGTATATTTTGGAATTTTGATTTTGAAAATGTGATTTTTATGATTAAAATAATTGATTATTATTATTATAACTGCTTGCTTGTTTTGAAGGTGTTTCATCATTGAATATCAAATATGTTTTCAAAATAAATTATAATCTGCGATATTAGGTATTTTCAGTTTCCAGATATTATAAAGTATGAATGATTATGAATTTAATAATTTAAGTTTTCTGCAATTGTTTGTGCAAGTAATTTACTTTAACTTTTTTTTTTTTTAGTTCTCATGCAGAATATTACAAGGTTAACTCTAAGTCATAATAAAATAGTCAGTAAGTATTTTGAATGATTCAAGTTCAGACAACTTTTTTCATTTTCTGTGAATTAAGTTTCATTTACTTAAGATAAATCAAACGTTATTTTGCCAGATATGCAGTTATGATTACCAAAATTGCCTTAACCTGTTTTTCCATTAATTAAAATTTAATATAATCTACTATAAATTTTAATATAATCCACTATAAATTTTAATGCTAGTTGAGTACTTAGCAAATGTTTTAATGCAATTATTTGTATATAAAATGATGCACTTATAATAGTTTTGTGACAGTTACGTAAAAGATATTTCATAGACAGTACAAAGTCCGAAATCCGGACGTCCAGTATCCAGAATGATCTAAAATCTGGACCTCAAAACCACCACCAACATTTTTCTCATAGGCTTTACGCATGTACATTTGATTCCCCTTTCTGCGCATAAAACATCTGGGGAGTCATGATGCTTAATTTCACTTCGACACTAAATAAAATAGCTTGTTATTGAAGAAACAATCATTTTAGCATAAATTTGTACAATCAGTAATTTGGCTCCATTGCTGCGTATCTGCTTGGCACAGATCTCAAACCGAAACATTCCACATAGACACATTGTTGATCTGACGCCAACCTGGCGAATCATTATTTATTATACTTTCCTTTCATCACCGCATATTTATCCACACATAACAATTTGAGTAATGACTCATGTAGCGATGCCTAAACATTTAAAAAAAAATTTTTTTTTTTAATGTTAGTAATTGAAAAATAAAGGAGTATGGTAACCTTTTATGTTGACATTACAGATCGCTTGGTGATGATTACAGATTTAAGTTAAATACCCTAAAAAATGTTGACGAGGAAAAATTTAACAAAAATTTCTTTCCATATGCTAAAAATAGATTTTGTTGATGATACTCATAGAGCCAAAGATTACATTTAGGGCTATTTGAATTAAGAATAACTGATTTGTTATTCACTTAAACACAGAACCAGTGCCAGGGCTCGTATGGCCACACTGGGTTGCAGAATTTAGGACTCGCAGAGACTGCATCAGGTGGTAAGATATCTAGCACCAGCCCTCAATAAGACTTAAGTATATATGGGAATTTATTTATTCAGAACTCTGATAAGCCTTACGCATGTGCAAGAAATAGACATAAGTGTAATAAATAACTAAACTAATACAATTCAGGTTTAATCATCTCAGTGCGTGCTAGAAACAAGATAAAATTTAATGGAACAACTCTTCGTTAGTCGCCAAGCTCATGATGCATAGCCAGATATGTATAGTAAGCGATAGCTAAATTTGATGATGATAGCTGCCAATTTTAAAGGTTTTCGAATATCTCAAAACAAAGGTGAAATTTTCCAATTAATGGATTTTGTAAGGAAATGTGGAGGTGATGATATGAAAGAAGTTTTTCATTGTGATGACAGTGCTTCTTAATCATCATTCTATTAATGAATGGCGAAATCTGTAGTATGGTTCTAGATCCAGAAAATACCACTACCGATAGTGAAGAAAGTGACAGAGAAGTTGCTGAAAACGAAAAAGTTTAGATTGACAAGTTAGTCAGAATTCTTGACACAACAGTTACAAGATTTCAACAATGTAACTGAACAAGAGATTATGCCTGTCTGCAGAATTAAAGAGAAAGTATTAGCACAAAAAACAAAGCACCTTAAACAACTTGCATTGAAAGAAATGTTTAATAAGGTAAACAAATAAATATAAAGCTTTTTTTTTTTTTTTTTTTTTTTGTAAATTTTGATATCCTTTAGATCATAAATACTTCATTATTTCATAAATCATGATTTCATATTTTTATTTTATAATTTCTACATGCCATCGTACTAGATTTGAACTCATGATTTATATCCAGAAAAATCCGGAATCACCGAAGTCCTGACGAATCCGGACTTCAGACTTTGTACTGTATGTATAATAAAGTGGTAATCTGATTGTAATTCAAATAGGAAGTAATGGACATAAAGTATTCAAATTTATATAAAGAGGAAATCAAAGAAATGATATTGAGTGAAAATAATGAAGAGAGAACAGTCTTTAAATTAAAAGAATTGTCTGTTCGAGATTAAAATAATGTAATTAATTATACATACTTATTTTAAATGTAGTTTACTTATGGATAGCCTGTAAAAATATAAGCTTTTCTCTTGATTTCTTAATTAACTATGCAGAAATTTAAGAAAATATTTCTTTGAGTATTTATCATTATTAATACTTTTTTTGGTTATCTTTCACATTTAGACACATATAGCTATAACACAATTAGAAAAAAGTTATTACTTAAAGCTAGAATGTGTTCTCAACTGTTAGCTTATAGATCTGATGTGGAAAGTTAAATAAATATCAAGTTTTCCATTTTCATGCCAAAAGTAAGGCTAAAAAAAAAAGCTTCAGTTATAAAAGAGTAGCAGCAGTATAAAGTAAAGTGCTGATGTTATTAATTTAATTATTGAATGTAATGTATGCGCATTCTCTATGCACATGTGTAAAGTTTGTGGCTTTGAAGTCCGGATTATAGATCATTCCGGATAATAGACGTCCGTATTACAGACTTTGTACTGTACAGTACCTCTTTCAGTATGTGGTGACTCAACACTTCTGTTATGTGCTGAAAAATTTACAGGCACATCTAAATTTGAAGTACTCCTACTAATCTCAGGTATCTTGGGTTCATCCACATCTTCATGACTTTCATTTTCATAGTTCCTTTGCATTGCAAACTCTTTCTGATTAGTTTCTGTAAGAATGTCTCCTCTGTTCCTTCCTATAATTCTTCCATCTGTTCTTAAAATCCTGTATGAGCGTGGTCTTTTTGCTGCTTCTATGATTTTCCCACTTTCATTTAGTTTTTCCCTTTTCTGATTTATGCACGCACGATCTCCTGCTTTCAGTAGTTTTAATACTCTTGCATTTTTATCATAATAGCTTTTTTGTAAAGTTTGTCTCTTTAGTAAATGTTTGTGCTCTTCATATTGTTTAGTTTGGATGAAATTCTCTTTTATGGGCGTCAATCCATTCACTTTTCTGCCAAACATTGTACTTCCAACCAAACAAAAACTGTATGCATCAGTCTATTTTCATTTAAACAAGAACAGGGAGCTAAAACAAAGTTAAAACTCTCATGTTAACCAGAAAAAATTCGCTGCTGTTATAACACTCGGAGACAAACTAATAACCAAAAAATACACAGAGAGTAATAAATAACAAAAATACATATTTCTTAACAGAAAAACATTAAAAAATAAATCTTTTAACAAAAATTAACACACAGAGACGAATAAATAAATGAAATATCAATTTTTTAACATGTCTTTTTTTCATGTGCATACGTTCACACTTCCCACCACCATATCCTCCATCCTCTACGTAAGCAGTTCAATTAAATTTTTGGTCACATCGCCTCATCTTCTGTTAATCAACATTCATCCTCTTAACCACCTCAGACATACTCAAATGATGGTACCCACAGCAAAATAATAGCAAGTTCAAAATCCAAGACTATACCACTCATGTGCAAGCAATCACAGCAACTGAAAACCAAACCCGGGTCCATACGAAATGGTTACTATTACAAAAAATAGCTGAAATATAAATTTATTGCAACATGTTTGGCGATATTCGCAGAAATAAACACTTTACAATGACAAAAAATCCCAGAATTTTTCTCAAGGCTATTTTTCGCCAACATTATCAACATTAGGTTTACTCAAAAACCTATTTGATGCAGTAGGCTTCCAGATTTCACGAACAACCAATACCACTTGGTGATTTTTTCAGACAGAAACCATGGGGTACCGTACAGTAAAGATCAGCCCAAATGTCCAATTTCAACATATTTTCTAAAATAACCTATAACTATTAGATAATCCCTTCCTTAAAAGTAAAATAGATCTTCTCCCAATACTTTCCCATGGACCATTAGGTATTTCTTTAGATACCATTGTTTCTTTAGTATTACCTTTTTGTAAACTTGAACATGTTGGACAATTCAGTACCAAATCTTCAATTTCTTTTTATGGTTTCTGGCCAATATAATATTTCTCTTGCTTTGTTGTTGCATTTTTCTACTCCTTAATGACCATAATGAATTCTACTTAACATCTTTTCGTAAACTTCTTGGTACAACAACACAGGAATTTTTAACTATTAATCCATTTGCTTCTGATAGTTCTTCTCTGAATTTAAAATCTGATTTTGCCAGTTCTGAACCATACATTTTTCATCTGACCATCCAGTTTTAATTAATTTTCTTAAAACTTGTAGTTCTTAATCTTTTCCTGTTTCAAGTTGAGAAATTTCCATTTTGTCTGTAGACATTGGTATACGTTCTACAACCAATCCAACTTAGACTTCAATGTCTCCTTCAAAGAAATCAGATCCTTTATCAGTAAATGATCTTGATAAAGCATCTGCTATAAAAAGTTCTTTTTCTAGTTTATATTTTATCTCAAAGTGATACGGCTGTAATCTTATACATATGTACGGCTGTATTAGAGATATATAAGTGATGAGTGATATAAGAGTAACGGCTCTTATATCTATATCTATACGGCTGTATAAGAGTATAAGTGATACGTCAGTAATCTCATTTGTAATCGTACTGGGCATTTATTTAATGGTTTTTTTAAAAAATTGATTCTAGTGATTTATGGTCACTTTCCACCGTAATATATTTTCCAAATATGTAGTGGTGAAATTTCTCAGACGCAAATACAATAGCTAAAGTTTCCTTTTCAATTTGAGCATAATTCTTCTGTGTGTCTGTTAATGCCTTAGATGCATATACTACTGGTAAATTATTCTGCAATAAGACTGTTCGTAGTCTTTCTGGAGATGCATCTATCATAATACTGTATCATAAAACTGTCTATGTATATATCATAATACTGTAAAACTGGTTTATTTACTAAGACATCTTTTAGTCTTCTAAATCCTTTATGTGTTGCATTCCAAATCCAGATAACTTGTTTTTCAACAAATCTTTTA